TTATTTTTAATAGTTACGTGCATTTGCACGGGCCACGATACTAGTAAAAGTAGAATAGATGGAGTTCCTATATCTAAAGGTGAACCCATTTCAAAAATATTCATTGTGACCTTTGGGCCTCTTCACTAACTTTGGAACTCATTTGCCCGTTACTTCCCCATATTCTATTTTTAGTTCATATTGTGAGCTTGGGCCACGGGGTGAAATAGCAATTAAAATTGAGAAATTTTTAGTCCTCCTATAAGATATACAAATATTTTCAAATTTACCTTCATATGAAAGTATTTTCAATTATACCTAATGAAGCTAATTTATTTATGAGATTGCATCAATAGCAGATACCATATATATTCAACATCCATCCCCCTTTTTGTGGACTTGATTAAGAGAGAGAAAAGAAAAATAATAACTGATTCATTTATTAATTCCTTAATTCACGCAATTTGTACATTGTAATTCAAGCAGTCGTCGTAGTATATTTTGAGTTTATGTTAGTATATATTCAGTGTATGTTGCAATATAATAATTCACGCAACCGCCAGGTGGTATATTTTTTTTTTGGGTACAACGAAGGAGGCCAAAGGCCTAAGCGATTAAGCTAATATTCTATGAAGATAAGACACCCCCGAACGTCATGGTCAAGCCAAACACCTAATCCTGGGGGCGGGGAAGCGAGGCGATGTAATCCCAGAGGGGTTGCTGCCGCGAGTCCCGCCAAATGATCCGCCGAATAGTTCGCCTCACGATGCACATGTAGGATTCGGATATTCCAGGCCCTGTAGTCAGCTCTCTAATAGCTCGGACTAAAGTATCATGGACTTCGAATTTCTGTCCCGGGCCATTGATCATTTTGACCACCGCTTGACTATCAACCTCCGCTATAACCTGACGGAATCCACGGTCCCATGCCAGGTGGTATATTTTGAGTTTATGTTAGTACATATTCAATATATGTTCAATAAAAAACAAGTCTTCCACAAAAAAATTATATCTTTTTTTTTTTTTTTTT